GGAAGGCGTCCAGTCGTCGGTGCCATGCGGATACGAAATCGAAATTGCGATTGGATATGGAGGATTCGTTGACAGGCGCGTTATCGCAGCTGGTCCCCGATGTAATGCACCCGAGGTTTTGATGATCTGCGGGTCTTCGACGGTGACGGTTGCCGTGCTATCAGGAGTGGCCACAGTTGGACGATTCAGTGAAAAGAGATCAAGGATTACAAACTGCTATGTAGTAATGGTGCATGGGGTCGGCAGTGACAATTGAACGAACTGTTTTGCATGCGGGAATTCAGAGTACTAGCGAAGAAGGTTTTGAGACTGGTGGCAGTGTCAGTCATCCGTGGGGAGAACCTGGGTGTAATCTCGAAGACTTTGAAAAACACCTGGTTTTAGACCCATAAAGAGCACATACTAAGGTACTATTATCTTATCAATTAAAGTTCATGGATCGACTGGCAGAATGTGACCGAGATCCTACAGCGGAGAGGTGTCCACTGAGAATGGTCAAGCAACGAAGAAAACGGAAAAGGACGCGCTTCATATGCGACTTGATATATCCAAATGCAGCGGATTGGCAACGATATTCGCTCAGCTGCTGCTCGGACCAGTTTCATACTGTACCAATAAGCGACTGGGAAGAATCCGTTTATTCTGCATTGGTACCCATATCACATTATCCAGTATGCTGTATTTGCTATGTCATTTTCTGATTTCAGTTCTCAGTTTTGTCAGATTGTCACTTTGTGAATCCCTTCCATGCGAACGTCTTTGTGAATCTCGGCAGCTATAAACCACATGAATAGATGTTTCGAAGACCGCGTTGATTTATTCATAGAACAAAAACTCGATGTTACTACGTGTCACTTATTTCAAAATAGGCTGTGGCCAAAGGTTTTTGTTGTCAGTAGCTCAGTCCATGGAGGGCGTGTTATACTGTTTCAGCGATTGAAAGTCCCATATTTTTCACTCAAAAGTGGGCTCTTGTGCTGCAAATGGATTTTGAGATTCATCCTGGTGATTGGGACTTTTCTCTTTCCCTCAGTTCAAGCTTCTACTTAAGCCTAAGCTGCTATTTGTGAAACCCAAGCTCATTGTCGCTTCCAACAGTAATCTAAGCTAATATCGAACGAGGCTTTTCTAAGGGAAGCAGATGCTGCGTATAATAACCACTGGCAACGCACACTGCGGGATTCGTGCAATCATGCGTTTTTGCAGTGTTTCGTGCTGTAATAAGATTACTCGAAATTCCGCTAGCTAGAAACCTCTTGCACATACTGATCCCCGAATTTTGGGGAACTTAATTATCCACGCTTTAGTTGGACAGGGAACATTCCCTTGAAATCTCAGGTTCCCAGCTTTCTCAGTTCCCA